ATTATCCTAAAATTTATACAAAAGGAGAAAATAAATCATTTTAGAGGTCTGTTTATGTATTTAAAATTAAACCATTCTAAGAAGGGTTTTGGATTCCTAAATTTGATTTTTTTTTGTGTATCTTAATTTTCATATGTACTTTCTTATAAATAGTTATTTGGCAATAAATTTAACAAATACAAATAATAAGAAGGATGCACTCACAAGATTTCAATTATGATGTTATCTTAACAAATTTGGAAGATGATGGAATGGAAAATGACTTCAAAATATATGTCTATTACCAGTCACCAATAACTAACAAGTTCTATATTGGGCTTTATATTCAAACTAGAACACTTATTACTACGTATATTTATATTGATGGGATATTAGATAACTCGTGCTCATATTCGATCCCTACTTCATTTCTTTAAGTTATCTTTAAATCACAAAGACAAATTTATGGCATTTTAAGATATCAGAAACAATTTTTTTTAGTCTATTGTGTTACCAATTATAAAAAAATAAAATAGGTTAGATAACTAAGTAATAAATTAATGAATACAAGTCAAATAAACAATCATAGTTGCATATGCAAAGTTGTCCTCATAATTAAGACTTGATAACCTAGGATTAAGAAAGAAATCAACCATATAAAAATATTAATAAGGGAAGTGGGTGTGATTTGTTAGAATTAATATAATAAGTTTCCATAATCAAAAGAAATTATTATATATAGTAGGGGTGAGCAAAAAATCAGGGTACCCTGAATCGGAACCGGAACCTGTTAGGAACCGCAGGTTCCGGAACCAGAACATGTACAAGAGGTTTCGGTTCCGGGTAGCAAACTGGAGAACCTGTTGTAACAGGTTCCGGTTCAGACCTGAAGGGTACCCTGTACCTGATAAAAGTATCACTTAATTTCAAATTATACACTAATTCTTACTCAATTTTTAAATAATAAATATCAAAATTACAATTATAAAAATATATATATTAAATTTGTTAGACAACTACTATTAGTTTGTCTTATTTGCAAGTTGCAAACATTATAAATTAGTGACTAACCAATTTTTTATTAAAAATTCCGCGAAACAGTTAGTGAGTATATTATAATACAGGGTACCCTAGGTTCCGGTTCCGGTTCCCAATTTCCAGGAACCTGTTCAACAGGTTCCGGTTCCGGTTCTCATTTTGAGGAACCTGTTGCAACAGGTTCCGGTTCCGGTTCCTGAAATTTTTACAGGGTACCCTGTTATGCTCACCCTAATATATAGTATTATATTATCACGAGTTGAGGTGCGGTTGGTGAGAAGCAATGAGTCGTTAGCTTTCAATATCTTCCAATAACAGCCTCGCATTGTTGTCAATACTTCTTATCTTGTCGATCGTCTTCAAAATAATGCCCATATTTTTATTTGAATACTTTGATAGCTAGCTTAGAATACCACTTCAATTGCAAGTTTATTTTTATGCGAGTTGCATGAACATGCAAAAACGTTACATGCGGATGTACTAATTGGATGTAATAAAAAGCTATATGAACATACATGTATTTAAAATTGCCACTTAACTATAAATTGACTCAATCTTGTATAAATCATATTATGTATACAAATGTATCTTGAATGATTGTAGCAATCTATTATACATATTTTAAAGATTTTCTATAGAGGAAAATTTATAAAATGAATAATAATATATCCTTAGAATGGATTTTATTAAAGTTATGTATGAATTGACAACTTGTTTTGTAAAATTAAAGTTATACATGCATGCAAGTATAGATAGATCGATGGAGATAGTTATGTACAGAAAACTACTTATTCAATGCTTTACATAGATATATATAGCATATATAACCTATTGGAAGAGTAATTTAGAAGTTTTTTTATGTAACATTTTATACTGTAGGTTGATTAATGAATTTTTAAATGTTCAGAATCAGACTGAAAAGATGACTGTTATGAATTTCAATATGGTGAGTAAATTGGCCTCTTCATTCAATTCGCTCGGGTCTTGTCTAAAAACTCATTCATTCAATCTTTTTCATTGTTCTTGTACGATCCGGAATCAATTTGGTATGATCTTATCCAATTCTTGATCGGGACCAATTTTAAACAAACCCTATATATTTCAAGTGCACTAAAGTTAAATAAGCTAAGGCCAATTCTTGATCGGGACCAATTTTAAACAACCCCTATATATTTCATGTACACTAAAGTTAAATAAGGCTTGATTGGTCACGATTTATAGTGGGTGCAATGATTACTCTCATTGAAACTCCATATCCTTTTCAACTAAAGCCATCAAATAAGAAATCGGTATACAAAGCTTAAAAATGAGCAAAACAATCCAAAAAAAAGTAATTTTATCAAAGTATAAGTAGTAGTATATAATATTAAGAGCAAGTTAAATTAGCGTATCTCTTCTAATTTTATTTTTATAAAGTTGGTGATTAAATTCCACTAAAAAGTAGTTAATGGGAAAGAGAAAAGAAAAATTATAAAGGAGAAAAATGTCGGGCCCACAGCATTTGCAATGTGTTCCCTTTGATTTAGGTTGATTAAAAATTATAAGGAGACCATGGTGGCGGCTAATCATGATTGATGGCTTGTCCATCTTTTGTCAATTTTTAAAAAAGCCCCAATATATCTGTACAGATATCATTGGTTGATTTGTTCCAAACTCCACCATGTTTTTTGTCTTTTAAAATTAAATTATAAATGTGTGGAGATCCACCATAAAAATTAATTCAATGAAAATTCTAGATAATTTAATACGAGTAAGGAAAAAAAAAAAAACACCTTAATAGTCGAATCATAATTTCTTACAGGTTACAATACATGTAAAATTTAGATTAGGATTAATAGTATTTACACAATTTCTCAAGATTGAATTTTTTTCTTATGATGAAAAAAATTTAGCCATTATTATCCTATAAGGTATTCTTGTTGCTAAACTTCACCCTTTATTTATAAATTCTTTGAATTCTCTTCGACAAGCACTAAGGAATTGTTAAGAGATACTAAAAAGTTGGCCTTAGTAGTAAATAGGTTAGATTTTTCTCAACTAGTGTAGGCTAGCAACCTAGCTCCATTCATTGGTGTTTTGATGCAAATAGTTTTTTTTTTTTTGGAAAATAAGTCCTAAAGGACACTAAATTTCATTAATATAAGCCATACGACATCTACATTTGACAATGAACGATAATGAAAACGAATTTAACAAAATCAAACAAGAATTAATCGGGGAAGGGCTAAGAATCCAAATACATAAATATAACAATTCGGCATATTCTCGATTCGTTGTTTCATACAACTTTTTGAGTGGATCCGTTGTCGCTTCGCAATTTTGTGAGAAAGTAAATTCTTGTGTTGATTCCGTAACCCGAATCCGAGCCTCAATCAAAAGTAGCCCTGCACAACCGGAGACCAAATTAAGCACAAACAAAACCTTGTCTTTCGAAGGAGTACGAAAAACATTGTCTTTCGAAGGAGATTGAAAAAATCTTGTCTTTCGAAGGAGATAAACCCTTTCTTTCGAGGGAGACATTATTGTAACCTAAAACAAAAGGCTTAAAAGAAAATAAAGATTGGGGCTTTCCACCGGTGAAATTCGATGGAAGCCCCTTCAAAATTGACAATGGAGACTAGGTTTAGGAGAGAGAGGATGCAAATAGCTTAATAGTGTGTGTGAAATTAATTGGCAAATAATTGGTGTTTTAATGCAAATATGGAAATTGCTTGATAGTCATATTTTCCCAAGTCTTAATATGATTTACCTTGACTATTCCATTATGACTAAAACCTCTATTTTGACTTTATCTTCATCCATTTTGGTCATTCTATTATTGGAGTTTCTCAAAGTTATGATTGTAATGCCTTCATAATTTAGAGAACAGTGACACTATTTCCTAACTTCCTTAAAAACGTAGCCTTGTTTGTTATAAAGGTAGGATATAATTTGACATATTAACTACTAACTTTGGAAATTATGCTATTAGTCCTGTGAATTACTCAACACAGTTGTTCATGTCATAATCGATGAGATACTTGATTTAATTTGATGATGGAAAAAGAAATGTGGATTTTATCTTCTTGTAATGATCAACTTAGTGTTATTGAGGTTTGCTAAATGACCTTTAGAGTCATTACAAGTTAAACAACATGATGAAGATTTGGTACCAACTAATGACAAAGTAAATAATTTAATATAATAATCATGTGGTAAATAAGGTCTAATTTGTACTCCGTACTATATATGGAAAAAAATGTATAAAGTTGGAATACCTTACTAGGTTAGTGATTAAGGTTTTTTCTTTCATGACCTTAGCTTAAGTTTATATAGGATCACGTCTCAATACGGATATTATGGAGGTAGAATTCCCTTAAACCCACACACTCATGGTTTTATTGCTCTTGTCATAAAATTTCACTAAAGATTTTTCTAATGTCACTAATTAAACAAATAATGCTATAAAAGATAGGTTGATTTTTAAAGACTAAAGAGTATGAAAATCCGTACTTGAAAGATGAAGAAAAGGTCATAAATTTCCTACCCTAAATTGGCCTCAAAACAAAGCCTAAATTTGGGTTGTCAAAATAATTGAAAGTAAGAACCAATTACTCATTCTCAAGAGTGGTTGTGGTTGCACAAGTAAAAGCCATATAAATGTGGGGCCGTGGGGGCTATGCTATACCTCAATAGAGAGGTTAATAGGCCTTTATATTCTCTCTTATTCGAGAACAATTTTGTCACAACTTTGCATGATTGACTGATTGTACAATGAGGTGGAAATTTTGGCCACATCATCCATTATTAATTATTAATTATATTAATTTAGACTTTATATTATACATATATAGTCAACATTATTCCTAACTATGTAAGAAATCAAAGAATCTCAACGGAATAGACAATGGGTTGTTGACACAGCCCATCTTGACTTCTCTTTTTAGTACCAACTTGGGCCCACTTTCATTTTTTTAATTAAACAATATTTATAAGAAGCCCAACTTTACAGGCCATCCATCTAAACCCAATCAACCAAAATTTCAAGTCTTTTTGAGTACCCATTATGTAAAGGTATACACACCCTTAAATTATAGGGTTACCCTTAAATTTCTTACCTTTCAAACTTTTCCTTTTCCTTTTTTGACCCCATTGTAGGGCAATTGAAATCATCATTTCCTCTTATCTAGGGTTTTTATTAATCATGAAATGATGTATATGGTCCTCTTTCCTTTGTGTTTCAACCATTTTTTTTGAGCCCACATTTTATTATTTGTTCCTTTCTTCACATTTTTTTCACTTGTTCTAATATCATATCATCATAATCATCCGGTCCCTGATGATGTTGTGAATCGTACCGCGCTCTCTACGACATCCACACCCTCATGAGATCAAAGCAAGACATACCCATATAGGATTTTGTCCTTGAGGTACTCTTCAAAAAGTAAAGTATTTAAGCTTATGATTTAAAGCATTGAAAAAAAGAAAAGAAAAAAAAAACTGCCATTTTTTTTAAGTTTTAACATACTTTACTTCTTAGTTCAATAGTTCTCCATATATCATCTTTTCTATAAATAAATGCAATCTAGGGTTAGGGTTTTGTACAAATATTCTAAGTACTTCCCTCTTTTATTCCTCTTTTTTTCTCTTACTTGAAATTTGATGCTTCTTTTTGTGCATACTTTAGGTAAGAAAGTGAAGAAGAGGGTAACACAAAAAAAAATTCTATGATGATGAAGAAGAGGCAAGTGGTGGTTAAAAGAGATCAAGGATCGCGAAGAAACAACAATAATTCTTCAACTATTCGATATTGTGAGTGTCAAAAGAATCATGCGGCAAGTATAGGAGGTTACGCGGTAGATGGGTGCAGAGAGTTCATGGCTAGTGGTGCAGAAGGAACGAGCAACGCGCTTATATGTGCCGCTTGTGGATGCCACAGAAATTTCCATAGGAAGGAGGTGGATGCTGAGGTAGTGTGTGAGAGTTCTTCACCTACTTAATTGATCTTATTTGATTAATTACACACTATTAGTCCATTTGAGGTGTATAAATTCATAGGGAAAAAAATATATATTATAGAGGAAGTTGATTGATACTTTCTCTTTGAGATCTGTGCATGATTAATGATTGAAAAATAAGATTTTAAATTGTTAATTTGATAGATTGTTTTGCAATTTATATACTAGTTTGATAAGATATTGAGATGGTTTTTTCCTAATTAATACAATTGGTATTGGAAGCAAAGTTGTATGAGTCTGTTGTAAATTAATCTCTTAGATTTGTAATATGATTCATCCTCTCCTTTTTGATTTTTTTTTTAATGGTGCAATCTCTTTTTGATTGTGATGATCAATTCAAGTGAATGATCGTGTCAATTCCAATCCAATTTCATATCATTTTTAAAAAATGTACATTTTTAGGTTGTCTATGGGCGGCAAAATTTTCAATTATTGTACATGATGTATATTATTACATAGGAGTACAATCTAAGTTAGTTGAAATTGTTGCAATAAAATGAGATAATAATATGAGATATAATGACATCAAATGCATTGAGATCAACTTTATTTGTAAAAAATTACATTTAAGTGATTAAGTAAAAGTCGTACAAATTTCCTACATTATTGATACCTTTTGATGTTCGCGGTTGGCTCATTTGGAAATTCTATATGATAGATTATGTAAATAATCTATTTTTGTATATATTGTTTTGTAATTATTCTTGATAATTATCTCTTGTATTATAGTAATGAAGTTATGGGATCGAATAATCTTCTGTAAGCGAAAGTGGACTAGTATGTACATAGATTCGATGCAAGAGGTCGTTGTTTTGCTTTACATTATAACCAATTATAAAGCTCTTTAGGTAGTAGGGACGCGAGTGGGGAAAAAAAAAATTTATTTGGTGAGATTATTTTAGGATATGATTATTTTCTCGGCATCTAATAGCTTCTTTAATTTTGCCATAGATGTACTCATCTTCCACATGTTTTAGTGGCGTATCAAGTAATGAATGAAACAATAATGTAAAGGACATTATGTTTACAAAAAGATGCTTCTCGGAAGAGAAAGAAAGAAATGAAAGCAATATGAGATATAGTCAAAATGTACACTCTTCTAGGAAGAAAATGTTGATATCAAGACAAATTTTAGTCAAATTTATATGATATGCTAGCTAGATGATGAATTGGTACATAAAATACCATATCTAGATATCTTATCTAATTGTCATATACCAATAGTTTATCTACAATGTTTCCACTAGTTTAGAATCTCAACCATAAGGTATCTAACTGCTCGAATATCGATCGATTATAGTTGTTGGAGTAAATTCAGACTATTACAGATTATTGTTAATATTGTAATATATTTCATGCATCAGAAATTGTTTGGTCATGGTGTGTAGACAAAGAGCATGAGATTCGCAATTGGTCTTGAAAATTTATTTTACCACATGTATGTGTATGGAAAATCGTGCTCCGATCCTTAGGTGACGGTCTATTAGTTGATCGCACAATTTGCTACGCGCCTACTCATGTCCATGTACCGCCATTCAAAACCTTTGGAGCATGGTTTTCTATACTCTAAGGCAGTTGAACACCATCATGGCTCGAATGGCTACATTTAACTTAGGGCTTGTTCTCATATGATTATTTTCAGTTCAACTCAGTTTAGTTCAGTTCAGCTCTAATAAGTTCAGTTTTGTTAAGTTCAACTCCTAATTCCTTCTCTTATAAAATATTCATTTCAGTTCAGTTCAGCTCTAATAAGTTCAGTTTAGTTCAGTTCAGCTGAGTTCAATCAATGAGAATAGGCCCTTAATTTCACCAGTTTTGCGCTGATTTGGTATTTTATACAAGTACATGATGACAAATATGTAGGCTTGTTTGGTCTTTCCTAAATAATAATATGATATAAAAAAAAAAATTATTGTTATAGTTTATTAACGTATTATATTGTAATAATGTTTGGCTTAAGAAAAGGACACATGTTAAAAATTACCTTAACTCTATATTAATTACAAACATAGTTTAGGGCTTAGCTGGCTTGAAGAAGAAAAAAAAATAATCTCAATAAATTTGAAAGATATATGTGTACCATTCATGATCATGAGCGACATCATAATCCCTTGTTTAGTAAATAAAACCTAAGATGTTGAGTTCTAAGTTGTTCATCAATGGATACTCAAAAAAAAAAAAAAAAAAAAAAAGTTGTTCATCAATGGATTACAAACAAGTAATTATTTTTTAACTAAAATTTCTCGCAAATTGGGATCCTATTCACCTTCTTAAGCTTTTAATTTTACTCAACAATTGTTGATAATGACGGAGTATTTGATTTACAAAAATCTAGGTACTTGTCTTAGGGTTATGTGATATTAAAATGTCAAAACTTACTAATTATGTGGATTATTTTCTCTAACTTGGAGTTGAGACTCATTGGTAATATTCATTTGCTCAAGTGGAACTAACATACACAAAAAGGAGAAAATCGATAATATGCTAGAAATGATAGTTTCCCGGGTTTTGCGCAAAACTCGCAATCAACTTAACCTTTCCTACATTTTACTTCTGAATGGATGCCAAGTACGCACCATTACACACTTGGTCTACCAAGAACCGAACAGTGCGCATTTCATATGGCACATCATATGATATATATGTTGGTGATACAATTTTAAAGCAACAGCAATGGAGAACACAAATATTTCTTACTTTGTTGTGTTGAGTTGTCCCTATAATTCGCCTCGTCACTTTCGGTACATAAGTTAAACGTTTGTTGCTCTTTCGGTTTTTTTTTTTAATCATAATTGTGAATTTGTTAAGATAAATTGACAAATTGTCTCCAAAACTTTCACCAACTTAGTCCAATCAAAATTTGAGGTGCCTATTTGTACAATTTGTGATAAGAACAAAGTGGTGGATTCACTGTCTATCTCTTACACATCATGAAAAACGGTTAGAAGATCATTTTAACAAAAAACTTAATAGTTCGTTGAAGAACAAGAATTGATTAATACATACACTATTACGCCTCATCACATGAAAATTCATTGAACTTGAAATATGGATGCAATAGCATGGATTCGTTATACCAGTGCTTAATATATATACTCTATCTAATAGGATGGGTGGATGAGATTTGAACCAGTGACTTTGTGTCGTACTGGCTCTTAATACCATATTAAAGGAGTAACTTAACCTAAAATTTAAGCTGATAGTTAAAGCTTAGGATTGGTTTATATATCAAAAACTTTGAAATTTGCCAATTTTTAAAAGTTTGTTTTTAAATTGATAAACCGAATATTGTCCACTAGTAGTTGGATTTAAGGGAAGAAGAAGATATAACGCATATTTTCATATCATATATATGGTGGGAAATGAATTAAGAAGAGTAAACCAAAAGGCAAGAGCTTTTAGGTTCAACATCATGTATAATGTCATTGTCTTTTTTAGTTTTGAGGTCAATGTTTATTGATATGATTAGCTGAAATAAAAAGGATTTCTGTATCCTTGTAGTAGATATCATTTCTTTTCGATAACATATTAGACCCTACTAAGGTCTCTTCAATGTTTGCCAATTTATAAAAAAATAAATACACTTTATTATATATAGTAGTAAGTTATTACGTGGAACTACATATTGTGAAAGCAAATAAATTATAAAGAAAAGTCATATGCGTTTTGTTATAACAAGACAAATGTGATTAGACTACCATGTTATAAATTAAAAATGCACGAATGGGTGAAATGTAATGAAGAAGAAATCAAAGAAAGATGCGCAACATTAAAAACAAGATCGATACAACTATTGATTATTAATATGATGATGGTATTGGTTTGGAATTACATTGATGATTAGATATTCTCATAATTAAATTAATGTATAAAGATTATGTTATAATTGATGGTGTTAGGCGCGCATACACATTATCTAAGTCATTTCCGATTCATAACATGTAAATTGATAGATACATTCAATTGTATTGGAGAGTGACCGAGTGAATGAATGATATAGCATATAAAAGGAGTGGACTCATAAGTTCATTATTTTTGTATGAATCGGCGCTTTTAGGGGTAAAACGAGTTTATATTATCTTATCAAATAATGGTATTAACTAGGGAGAAGAACCCAAATAGGGCGATGCATGCATGGCTTACTTTTCTTCAAATAAGGGTGGACTATCTTGTCTATCTAAAAGAGAATATCTAAAGAGGTGGTATTACTATATGCAAGGATTTATAATTAAAGTTCAAGGTTGCTCTGTAAAATATGATTCATATTAGGTATTAAGTTGATTAGATGAAAAACAATTGCAAATTATACATTTTTAGGATATGTATGAATGAATTAATTGTCAAAAGGATGAGATTTGAGTATAGTAAACATGAGCTCAGCACATCAATTGATAATGACAAGGACTGATAACATGAGATCTAAACCAAGATTTAATGTAATTCAAGTTGGAAAAACTTGACTTTATTATTAGCTACATTTTGTTGTTTAAACAGCATAGTTGCTAATTTTGAAAGGCCGCACTTAATACATGTTCTCACCTGTCTTATAACTCTTATAAAATAGATGACGATGCATGAGTTAGCATTTTGTTAGGTTATGATTGAAAAGATTTAAATTGAAGTTTTAATACTCGTAATAGATTTATTTATAAGTGGTATATGCAAAATTGATGAGCTACATAACTAGAGGTTCAGATTTGTTCATTTGTTTATTAATATTACCGAAGTAATGTATAAGAAAAACAAGCATTTTCATATGCGAGAGTGCCTGAGAGATTGCTTAATTATTTAAAGCTTTTATTTTGTTTCTAGAAGATCATGATATCGATTCTCATCACTGGCCATTGTATCTCTCTAAAAAAAATAAAAAAAAAAAAAAAAAAATAAATCACATGCATTTGTCTTGTTACGTATTTTTCAAATATCATCTGTTGTAGAGACCATTATTAAAGTTCAAATCAGTTAATCTATTATTTAATCATTTAAAGGAAAATATATCAATTTTTCAAATGTCCTAATCAACATTGTGTGGCTATATGCTTAGCAAACACACCATTAATAAATCAAGCTAATAGTGTTTTTGCATTTTAATTATTATTTCAGAGAAAAGAATTTTTGAGCAAAGGATTACTCCGGAAGAGATTAAAACTGCCATGTTTAGTATCAAAAATGACAAATCCCCGGGGCCGGATGGGTTTAATGCATAATGCTTTAAACAACATCGGGACACTGTTGGGGAATCGGTGGTGAAGGGGATTACCAGTTTTTTTTTTTAATAGTGGCTACTTATTAAAATCTTGGAACCAATCAATTCTTGTTATGATTCCAAAAGTGGATAATCTGGAAGAGGTTAGACACCTAAGACCAATAATCCTGTGTAATACAATTTACAAATGCATCTCGAAGTGTATGGTCAATAGGATCAAATAGGTCTTACCAAATTTAATTTCGGAATACCAGCACGCTGTTGTGCTAGGAAGGCATAAGGCGGATAATACACTACTAAGCCATGAAATCCTAAATCTCATAAACAAAAGGAAAAAAGGGCAAGATTTAGGGGTGATAAAAATGGATATGAGCAAGGCTTATGATCGAGTGAGATGGGATTTTTTAGTCATTGTTTTGAGGAAGTATGGATTCCCTGAGCATTGGATCTCTTTATGCTCCCAATGTTTCTCTACGGTTTCGTATAAGGTCCTTATTAATGGAAATACCTCGGAAACCTTTAAACCAAAGTGTGGGCTTCGACAGGGAGACCTACTATCTCCATACCTTTTCTTGTTTTGTATGGATATACTCTCGAGGATGCTCATAATTGAAGAGGATATTAATCTTTTCAAAGGTATTAAAATTGCGAGAAATGCTCCAAGAATTAGCCACTTATTTTTTGCGGATGACACACTCTTATTTTTTCAAGCCTCAAATAAGGCATGCCATGAAGTGGTGTCGACTATTCAGAGGTTTTGTTGAATTTCAGGGGAGCAACTAAACCTCAGCAAATCTTTTGTCAAGTTTAGCTCAAGCACTTCAAACCAAGATAAGTTGGCATTTAAGAACATTCTAAGGATGAGGGATATGGAGAATCTAGATACCCATCTAGGGGTGCCTATTGACTTAAAAGGTAACAAGAGCTCAAACTTTTTATATGTGGTAGATAAAATTGCTATGAGGATTATGGCTTGGAATTCCTGTAAGCTCTCCTTCTCCTCAAAGATTATTTTAGCAAATACAGTTTTAATATCAATGGCTACTCATGTGATGAATAGCTTCAAGCTACCAAAAAGTATTGTCTCAAAAATAGAGAGCTTAATCTATAATTTTCTATGGGGAAATAAGGGTAACAAGGGAATACAGTGGGTTAGGAAAAGCATTGTTCAACTTCACTACTAGAAAATGATGAAATACCGATGGCAATTACCGTTCGCTATTAAATGCCATCGGTAATACCTTCAATTTCTGATGGTTTAAGTGACTATCGGAAATTACCAAATTTACCGATGGTCAACTGATGGCTAAACCATCGGGAATTTAATACCGATGGTTTTTTTTCCATCATAGAATTTTCTTTAAAAAAAAAATAAAACACTATTTTTTTTACCTATGGTTTTTGGCATCGGTAATAGAAAAAAAATATATTATTTTTTTATTCCGATGGCCTTTACCATCGGTAAATCCATCGGTAAATACACTGACATTTTTTTTTAAAAAAAAAAACACGACTTTCAAGTTTTAGATCTACTTTTTTTCAAGCATTGACCCAAAAGGGGAGAGAGAGAGTTCAGGGCGACGGTGAACGACGAAGGTGAAGGGCGACTGGTACCTGACTGGTCGGCGCAACATCACCGCTAGCAACCTCGCAGTCTTCACCGGTGTCCTGTTCCTCTGGTCGTCAACCGTTTGTACATGGTAAGTATTTTTTTTTTAAAAAAAAAATTTGTTAATTAAACATTATTTTTTTCACTCAATTATTTACCGACTGGTCATAAATCTTAACAGTTTCGACAACCTAGTAGCAAGTATACCGACGATCTCCTTCCATAGGTAAGTAATTTGTTTAATTTTCAATTATTGATGTCAAAACCCTAACTTTTTTTGAGTTAAATTCCCTAAATTTGGTTGTACTAGTTTATATGTGTTAATTATTTAGTTATGCTATATGATAATAACTTAGTTTTCTTAGTACTTCACTTGTTAACTAAAAAATAATAATATGTTAGGAGCTTGTTAGTTGGATGTTTAAATACACCTATTTGCTACATGTTTCATAAATTTAAAAAAAAAAAATTTATATGTTTCTAGCTTGATTGATTATGGATTTTGTTGTGAATTAATTGCACATTTTGTGGATTTTTCTTTTAATTATTTTTATGTGTTACTATTTAATTCAATGCTATGTGGATAATGATGTTAATGTCTATAATTTTGTTTCTTGATCTTCATGTACTTGTCTCAATTTTGATTCAACAATTGCATCATCATTTGCCTAAATACCCGGTTGGGACTGTTCTTGGACGTTCATTCTCACTTAGGTGGTTATTGTATGCCTTGTTATTGATTCTATGGAAAATTTTGGCTACGTGTTTTCCTAATCTGTTCTCTGGGTACACATATAAGTATACATAACTACTCATATTGTGTACTTGGAGAACTGTAGGGAAATGCTGCCGAATTTTCCATGGAATTGAAAACTTGGCATACAATTACTAGTGGGATTACACGTCCAAGGATGGGTTAGGTTGGAGAGATAAGGACCCTACGACGTCATTCATAACCTTATTGCTTCCTTTACTTGTTCAAACAACATGATTATTCTATTTAGATTGAATATTGTGGTCATTTGGGTGAGATGTGTAGAATTGCAATCATGAAACGAATAGAGCGTAGCTGGATATATGAAAGGTTGGATGGTCGCAACATTAGACCGGAGTTCGTGAAAGGGGTTGATGAATTCATTCAGTTTTTTAAAGATCATCTAGAGAGCAGTAAAGTTGATGAGGTTAGGTGCCCTTGTGTCAAATGTCAGAATCTTCAGCTACATGATTCTGAGACGGTTAAAGTGCACTTATATAGAAAGGGTTTTGTGGATGATTACCATGAATGGATGTGTCAAGGTGAAGGGTTTCCAATCATCCCACCTCCCCAACCTAATCCATATCGTGACATGAGGAGGAAGAGCCAAATCCCCAAGCTAAGAAATTCCTTAATTTGTTAGAGGAATCTGAGAGTCCTTTATATGAAGGGAGTTCCATGTCTATTTTGGAAATTGCATCTAGAATCACAAGTTTGAAGTGTGAGTACAATTTGCCTCACAGGTGTGTGGATGGGTTTGCTTCTTTGATGAATGAAGCAATTCCTATCAATAACAACATGGGAGAGACATTCTACGAGGTTAAGAAAGTAGTTAACGGGTTAGAGCTTCCTCATGAGAAGATACATGCCTGTCCAAAAGGCTGTATGCTGTTTTGGAAGGATGATGTGAACTTGTCCAAATGCAGAGTGTGTGGTAGCGAAAGGTATAGCAAGACTTCAAAAGGAAGTTTAGTGCCCTTGAAAGTGCTTATTTATTTCCCGATTACACCGAGGTTGCAAAGGTTGTTTGCAAAAAAGAACATTTCAGCGGAAATGACATGGCACGCCAATAATCCTAGAGTTGCAAACACAATGGCTCATCCTTCTGATAGCGATTCTTGGAAACACTTGGACAAGACCTTTCCAGAATTCGCCTCAGAACCTAGAAATGTGAGACTTGGATTGTGCACCGACGAATTTGCTCCTCACGGTAAGTTTACAAAACAATATTCATGTTGGCCAGTGATATTGACACCATATAACTTGCCTCCTTCAATGTGCATGAAAAGAAAATTCATGTTTTTGTCTCTGCTTGTTCCCGGTCCTAAAAACCCAAAGGGCAACTTGGATGTCTATATGCAACCACTGAATTGAAGAACTTAAGCAATTGTGGGATGTTGGGGCAAACACCTATGATCTTTCTAAGCAGCAAAACTTCACTATGCGGGTTGCCGTACTTTGGACCATTAGCGACTTTCCAACATATGGTATGCTATCTGGATGGTCAACTACTGGTAAAAAGGCATGTCCGTACTGCTTAGACAAATCCAAGGCTTTCTAGTTCGATCATGGTGGAAAAGTTTCGTGGTTTGATTTTCACCGACAATTTCTTGATCTAGATCACCCGTTTCGAAAAAAAAATAGCTTTTTGTAGGAACAGAGTTGAAAAGGGGTCACCGCCGCATATTATGTCTGGGCTAGAATTATGGGAATGTGTTAAGGACCTGGCAAAGGCAACTGATGGTCCTGCTGCTCTGAAATTGCTTAAAAAGGCCAAAAAAGGTTGGTTCAAGCAAAGCACACTTTGGGAGCTTCCTTATTGGAAGCACTTGCTTATACGTCACAATCTAGATGTAATGCACATCGAAAAAAACTTCTTTGATCATCTCATTCATACGGTGATGGATGTTAAAAAGCAGACTTGTGACACGATCAGTGCTCGAAGAGACATTGCAAAATACTGCAAGAGACCTGGACTTCATGTTGTAACTGATGAAAGAGGTAAAGAGACCAAACCGAAGGCACCATTTTCCCTCGACAAGTCTCAGAAAAAGGTCCTGTGCGAATGGATTTGAGAGTTGCGGTTTCCTGATGGGTACGCTTCTAATTTGAGTAGGTGTGTCGATATGCAAGCATGTAGACTTCATGGCTTGAAAAGCCATGACTGCCATGTGTTCATGGAAAGATTGCTTCCGGTAGCTTTGAAAGAATTTCTCCCTGTCCATGTTTGGAAATATATTACTGAAATTAGCCAATTCTTCCGAGATTTGTGTTTCTCCACTATAACACATACTGACATGGACCGTCTGCAAAACAACATTGCTGAGATTCTTTGCAAACTTGAAAAGATCTTCCCCCCTGCTTTCTTCAACTCTATGGAGCACCTGCCTATTCACCTTCCATACGAGGCAAGAGTAGGCGGCCCAGTTCAATATCGTTGGATGTATCCATTCGAAAGGTAATGTGTCTTACGTTTTGTCTTCACTTTTTGGTAAAATGTCAGTACAATACACATCTAACTAGGATATCTAAGTTATTAGGTTCTTGAATCATTTGAAACGCAAAATTGGTAACAAGGCTAGAGTAGAAGGATCTATATGCAACGCGTACCTTACGGAGGAAACAACAAACTTTTGCTCTAATTATTTCCAAGATGGTGTTGATACCAAAACTAGGGATCTTAGTAGAAACGCAAATGTCGTGGTCGACACTGAGATGGAACCTAATAACAAAGTCCCTGAACTCTTCAAGTTTGATTGTGGTCGTGTTCCTAATTCTGGGCGATTACGTTATCTGGATTCTAAGGAACTTGAAAGGGCACGCCTTTATATCTTATCAAACTGTGGCATTCTAGAGGTGTATGAAAGGTAACCCAAAAATTATCTACTTTAAAGTACCAACTTTGTTATGTAACGGAGTTAGATTATTAGCAAACCATCAATTATTGCTTGTTTGAATTTATTAGGGAGTTTGAGGATCACATTCTTCACACACAACCTAATTTACGTAGAGAAGATGTGTGGCAACGATTTGAGAAAGAGTTTCCTAATTGATTTCGTGATAAGGTAATATGTGTTTTTTACTTGTCCAAAGAGATAAAGTGCTATTAACTTGTCTCACGTTATGGAATTATTTGGGTATTCCTTAGGTAATTCGAGATAAGCCAGCAGATGATATCGTGCAGGCATTGTCAATGCGCCCTTTTAGTCAAGTAAGGACTTGGAAGCAAATATTTGTAAACGGCTATAATTTTCAAACAGAGATGACCGGAAGATACAAATCAACAATGAACTACGGTGTTTCTGTTTCAAATGCAGAAGGGGGTCAATATTTTGGGACCTTAGAGGACATTATTGAACTCGTTTACACAGGTCCTACTAGATCATATAAGACCATTTTGTTTAAATGCAAGTGGATGGATTCTATCAGGGGGATGACGGTACATGAGGAATACAAGATCATTGATGTCAACCACACCAAGAAATACCCCAAGTACGACCCTTTTGTGTTATCTTATCAGGTTATTCAAGTGTACTTTGCACCCTACCCGAGTTTGAGGAGAGATCGAGCACAATGGTGGGTTATGATTAAGACAAAAGCCAGATCAGTTGTTGATGCTCCCGTGGACATGGAATTTTTGCAAGAAACAACTAGTGACACCACCACAACATTATGTGCACCAAATGATATTCCGGACTATGGTGTTGGTAATGAAGAAATAGATGTTTATTCGGACAATGAGGATTTGGTTCAAGAAGGTTCATTCTCCAGCGATGATGAGGCAGAGTTTGATTCAAGTGATAGTGAGGATGGCGAGGATG